AGTGCTGGCGAGGGTGTGGAAAAAAGGGCACCCTAGTACACTGCTGGTGGGAATGTAGACTGGTGCAGCCACTATAGAAAGCAAACTGGAGTTCCTCAAAAGATTAAAAATTGACCTGCCGTTTGACACAGTGATCCCACTTCTAGGAATATATCCTAAGTTAACCCGAAACACCAATCACAAAGAGCTTATGCACTCCTATGTTCATAGCAGTGCAATTTACAATAGCTAAGATTTGGAAGCAGCCCAAGTGCCCATCATTAGATGAGTGGATACAGGAGCTGTGCCACCTTTACACCATGGAATACTATGCAGCTGTAAAGAGGAAGGACCTTTTAGCCTTTGGCACAGCATGGAGGGAACTAGAAAGTATTATGCTAAGTGAAATAAGCCAGTCAGAGAAAGACAAGTATCACATGACCTCACTTATATGTGGAATACAATAAACAAATAAACTCATGAACAAAGTGAATCCAGAGACATAGAAGCATGGAAGAAACTGAGAGATCTCAGAGGGAGGGCGGGAGGAGGGTGTGGGTGGAGAGAGACTAATCAAACAACTTATATGTTTATAAGCATAACCCATGGACACAGACATTGGTATGGGGAAAGTGTGGGGGTGGGATGGATGTGTGGTGGAGGCAATCAGTGGAGATAAAAAGGGGACATCTGTAATATTCTCAACAATAAAGATAAAGAAATATTAAAAAATGATAATAAAATTTTTTTAAATGCAAAAAAAAGAAAATTAAAAATAAGAAATGGGCAGAGAGATAGTGACAACAAATTCTAGGGTAAGCCAGAGAGAAGACTTTGAAAGATTGAGGAAACATGTATGGAAGTGTTAATAGTTTTTTTGAAGGAGAATTTCAGAAAAGAAAGGAAGAATAGGTAGAGGTAGCATAAAAAAAAACACACCAAGAAACTACCCTCGTAGCTTAGCAAATTTTAATTATATAATACAGTGTTAGTTTATAATTCTTCTTGCCTTAAAATTTAAAATATATATATACTGATATATATATATACTGATATATATATATTTATTACATATATAGACCAGGTGTTTTTATTTTTCTATTTGTATGATATATCTTTTTCCATATCTTTGCTTTTAATTCTCCTGTAACCTTGTATTTATGTGTTCACTTTACATTAATCTCTTTGATGACCTAACAGAAGAGTTTATTTTATTTTATCTATACTTCCCAAATTTTTCTCAGTGGGATAGTTATTATATACGAATCTGCAGTGACTTTGTTAAAATCAGCAGTCTAATTTTGAAGCTTTTCATAAAATAAAAAAATTCTCATTATTCTTTCTGCTATAGTAAAGTAAGAAACAGTAAGGACATATTTGAGAAGAGGCTCCTTGAACCAAAATCCTATCTGCAGATTAATGCAGATAATTATTGTACCACAGTGACCTGTGTTCTTTCTGGTCTTCTCATTATATTTACTGTGACCTGAAGAAATTTCAGCCAGTCAACAATTTTGAAATGGAGATTTGAAGAATAAAAGCATTATATCTGGCACTTAGAATAGTGACTGATAAGTAGTAACTGCTATATATGTGTTAGCTATTATTATTGCATATTCCCACATAACCAGATTTTGAACTAATTTCTTATAAAACAAATACAGTTCATATGGACATCATACTTATTATAATGAATACTGTTTTAGGATTTCTTTATATGTTTAATCATTATAAAATATTTATTAGACACATATGTGCAAAAGGTTATGTTGAGAAATCTTAATATGTAAGATAATTCCTGATCTCAAGAGACTTAAAATCTAGTTGTTAAGGCATGATATATATGTTAAAATTAAATGTTCCTTGCCCAGCCAGCATGGCTCAGTGGTTGAGCATCAACCCATAAACCAGGATATCAGGGTTTGGGACACATGCCTGGGTTGTAGGCTCGATCCCCAGTAGGGAGTGTGCAGGAGGTAGCTGAGCAATGATTCTCTCTCATCATTGGTATCTCTCTCTCTCTCTCTTCCTCCTTTCCTCTATCTGAAATCAATAAAATGTATTTTTAAAAATTTAAATATTCCTTGTTTAAATGTCTAATTATTCTAATAAATTTTGAGAGAAATAATTCTGTCTTATTCATCTATATCTCATCTATGAAGCCGAGATCATGTATGTGCATATTGCCAACCCTCAAATGGTTATGGAATTAATAAAGGTTTACAAAGTATCATGTACTAAATTCTTGAAAATAGTAACTACAAAATCAACTTTTTTGATTGATGAATGGAAGTATGAACGAGTAAACAAAGTACTAACCAGTCCTTAAAGGAAGTATGTTAATTAAATAAAAAGAGAAGTCATGGTAGTAAATTCTAGGTGGAGAAAATAGTATGATAAAAAGGAAGAGATCTAACCAAATAATTCATATGTATAACCCATGGACACAGACAATAGTGCTGGGAAGGCCTGGGGAGGGGGCAGGAGAGGGGAGAAGGGGGTCAATAGTGGAAAAAGAGGGACATTTGTAATACTTTCAACAATAAAGGTAAATTTTTAAAAAAGGATAGAGATGGAATTGAACATGAAACACTATAGAATGAATGAGTAGAGAGGGAAGATGGCAGCCCTGTGAGAAGCAACAGAGCTCCCCCGCTCCCAGCCACAGACTCAATTTACTCCTAAAATACTACGTAGCCAGCTTGGAAAAACCAGAGAAACATACCTGAGTGGACATAGTGTGAGAAGGGAGCACTGAAGAAACATCATAGAATCCAGTAAGGGACAGGAGGCGTAGAAGGGGGAGTCCCCCTTTAAGCCCGTGCTGGGCTCCAAGCCCCGAGACTTGGAGGCTGCAAAGTTCCCTCCCCTCAGGAGCCCGGACCAGCATCTAAAAGCAGGGATCTCACACCCAGAGCGGAGGAGAGAGGAAGGAGTTCCAGGTGCAGAGGGCAGAGGGACCCAGGGGAGCAGTGAGTCCAAGAGGAGGGGACAGTGCCTTCCTAGGAAACAAAGCTTCTAATGGCAGATGCAACTGGCTTCTAATGCTCAGGGTGCTGACCATAGGAAAGGCTGTCCCAAAGCCTGAGGCACCCAGGTAGTAAGGGACCAGAGGTCTGCCATGAGCAGCTACACGCAGGGACCCTCTGCCTCCTAGTAAGGCACTGTGCTGAGCCCCAGGAAGCAGTTGATCTGCGTGGCTCAGGAAAGTGGAGGAGCCCTCCCACCCTGAGCTCCTGGTGCAGAGACTCTGGGATTTTGGACCAGCCCTGAGGGGTGCTGTGGTGGTGTGTGTGGAACAAAGACGGTCTCTTCAATAAGTGGTGCTGGGAAAATTGGACAGATACATACAAAAAGATGAAACTAGACCACCAACTTTCACCATACACAGAAATAAAATGGATGAAAGACTTAAATGTAAGCCACGAATCCATAAAAATTCTGGAAGAAAACATAGGCAGTAAAGTCACAGACATCCCATGTAGTGGAATTTTCACTGGTACATCTCCTAGAGCAAGAGAAACAAAAGAAAAACTAAACATGTTGCACTACATCAAACTAAAAAGCTTCTGCACAGCAAAAGAAAACAGCCTCAAAATACAAAGGAACCCCACGGTCTGGGAAAACATATTTGCCAAGGATGAATCTGATAAGGGACTAATTTCCAAAGTGTACAAAGAACTCAAAGCACTCAGCAAGAGGAAGACAAACCAATTAAGAAATGGGAAAAGGACCTAAATAGACACTTCTCCAAAGAGGACATACAGATGGCTAAGAGACACATGAGAAAATTCTCAACGTTGGTAATCATCAGAGAGGTGCAAATTAAAACCACAATGATGTATCACTTCACATCTGTCAGAATGGCTGCCATCAACAAATCAACAAACAACCTGTGAGGGCGAGGATGTGGAGAAAGGGGATCCCTAGTACACTGCTGGTGGGAATGCAGACTGGTGCAACCACTATGGAAAACAGTATGGAGCTTCCTCAAAAAATTAGACATGGAACTGCCTTTTGACCCAGTGATCCCACTTCGAGGAATAGATCCTAAGAATCCTGAAACACTAATCAGAGAAAATACATGCACCCCTATGTTCATAGCAGCACAGTTTGTAATAGCTAAGATCTGGAAACAGCCCAAGTGACCATCAGTAGATGAGTGGATAAAAAAGTTGTGGGACATTTACTCCATGGAATACCATGCAGCTGTAAAGAAGAAGGATCTTGTACCCTCTGGGACAGTATGGATGGACCTGGAGAATATTATGCTAAGTGAAATAAGCCAGGCAGAGAATGACAGACATCACATGATCTCACTTATATGTGGAATCTAAAGAACTTAATAAACTGATGAACACAATAGATTCAGTAACATGGAAGCATAGACCAGACTGAGGAATGTCAGAGGGATGGAGGAGGGCAGGTGGGTAGAGTGGGAGAGAGTAACCAAAGAATTTATATGCATATATGCAGAACCCAAGGACACAGGCAATGGTAGGGAGAGGGACTGGGGAGGGGGATGAAATGGGGTGGAATGGCTTGTTGGGGAGAAAAAGGGCCATCTGTAATATTTTAAACAAAAATAAAATAAAATATGAAAGAATGAATAAAACCTTTGAACTAGTACAGGGATAATACTAAACAGAAGAATAATATAATAGATGATTATAAACTAAGGAGCGATTTGAGTGATAGTTTAACAAGTTTGGACTATGCTTACTGGATAATGGTGAGCATTTGAAGGTTTCAGTTTTGCTTAACATTTATTTTAGAATAATGCAGCAACAGTGGCAAATTTTGATTGAATAAATTATAGATTTGCGTTGACAAATTTGTCAGGTAGCTACACAAATACTGTATTAATATATGACAAAATATGTGCCTGAATTTAGTATTGGCACTGAAAATGATAAAGAAGATACAGGTAGTTTAGGCATTATTGAAGAGAAATTTACAGAATTGATGGGTAAATGCATATGAGGATGTATGGAGAAGAGCACAACAAAACCATGTCTTACCTGTTCAGACAAATGTTTCAGTAATGTAATATGTTTAATGAGGTGGTTTTTCAGACTGGAAAATTCTGACATGCAGTCAAGTGGAGGCCTGCCAGGGAAAAATGACAAGAGATTCTATCACTCTCAGAGTCATTGAAAATCACAGCTTTATACCTTAGGAAATTGACAATATATAGCTCTTTCTATCATTTTGAAAAAGTATCAAGGGTACCTAATTTTTAGACATTACAATGTTCTATCAGAAAATAACAGACAGCTTATATGAAAGCTGATCAATATAATATACATATGGCCTCAATAAATTGGTAGGATGGTAGATACACAATTAACAGTAGTTATTCCTCTTTCCAAATTACCGTAAAAAGGTGGAAGGCAGTGTAGGTAACTTTTTTATTTCCTTTATGTTGGCTGTTTTACTGTACAAATAATTACATAATAACAAAAGGAGGAAAAATAAAGATTGGCTATATTTGGTAATTTATTTTATTTGCCACAACTGAAAAACATGTATTTTACTTATGACACTATAACCAATTGAAAGTTTTGTCTTTATTTTTTAATATAGCATAACTCTCAGGCTTCTGCAGCTAGGGGGGCCTATAATCATAAGTAGTAATTTGAATGAGGTGATAAAATCTAAATAGCTTTGTTGAAAAATAATCACCCAATTCATCTATCCTATTATATTCCAAAAATGAAAAACAATTTTCAGAATGTCACTTGTAAAATAAATTAACAAGTATTACAGTACTGAAATTATTTAATCACACAAGGGATGTTAAGTTTAATTTTCAGAAATTAACAAGGAAAAAATTTTAATACCTCCCCCCACCTGTGCAATTCCTAGGAGATTACAATCCCTGGTGTTTACATGAAAGTGCTATTTTCTGGAGGTCTATTTCTAAAGCACATAAGAATATGGTCAGTGATCCAAATTACTTTTTATAATTAAGTATATAAACTTATGTGGCAAGATACATAGGACAATTTCCTGTAACTATGCCAATGGTACGAAACAGGAGCAAAATTCCCTAGGCAGCAGTGTTTCTGTTCTCATCTATTTCTAGACACCCCTTCCCCTTAAAAAAAGCAAGTAGGCAAGAAAACATTGGGTTAACGCAGAACTTCATCCCACCTTATCCCTTAATTCTCAACATAAAACAAAATCAATTTATGTGTCCTTATAAGTAGAATCTTGATAGTTATCTTGGATGTGATTTAGAGTTAATATATTACCTTCCTCAATGAATCTTGTCATAAATTCTGTCTACCTCAAATCAGTAAACCACTTAAAATTATTATGACTAATGGAAATAAAACATAATGAGATAAATCCTTGTCAACAGACTAAGATTTCCATTTAATACTATAATTAAGAACTTTTTATAACCAATAACTTTTACAGTAAATTTTAAAATGTTTTCTATTACTAATAAAACAGTCCTTAAATTAAACTCTATCATGCAATCTAAGATTATAGTGCTTATAAAATCAAACTTTTATACACTGCTCTTCAGTTCAAAAAAGTTCAAGTAACCCACTAAAAAGGCTAAGCATTTTTGGCAAGTATAAAAAAGGAAGAGATAATTTCCTTGGAAGAGGTCACATAATCACCTTTATCCTTTTTCATGATGATATCTTGAACTAAACTCCTGAATTAACTTCAATTCTCAAAAATACTTATCTCTATTACTAAGATGACTCACTAGATTTATATCCTTTAAAAATATAACTTAAATAAGTTTTAGGCCTAAAATAATATATTTTATTAAACCAAGTCAAGTAATAGCTTGAACCACAATTTGAGAAAAAAATAATACTCAAACTAAATGGAAAATTTATATTTTGATATCATCTTTTACATGTTCTGTCTTAGAAATGCAGAGATGAGGACAATTTTAGGATAAACCATAGAAATAATTTTGCCCAGTAACACAATTATTCAATTTCAGAGAGAAAAGAAGAAGAAATTTCTCCAACTGAAACTCTAACCAGGTATTTGATAAGGGAAATTTAATTATTCTATAGAAAATCCAATTATGTTGAGCCTCAATCATTCTTAAAAATCCATGTTACTCTCTGATTAGAATATAGCAGGTGAGTCCCTGACATAATTTTCAAAACATATCGACTTTCCTGGGGCAGGAGGTCTTTGGGAAATCAGAAACAATTAAACCTAAGAAAGTTAAAAGTACTGAGGTGTTTTTATAGCAACCATGTCCAGTGTAAGACATACCATTGTGATTTTATATGTTTAATTCATAATACTTTTATGTTTTCAAAGATCAAATTTAGAATGCTTAATAAATCTCCAGTGTGGTAAAAAGGTTATTTATTATGAATACCTCTTATTTAGTAATCGCCAGTCTTCAAGCAAAGACTATGATGATCTGTAATGTTTTAAAATAAAATTTAAAAATTTCAAGCTATAAGATAAGAAGATGCTAAGATGATTCATAAATTTTCATATTCCAACATTGTTAAATGAGGTCTTTTTGTACAGATTATACCATTTCTGAAAGAGGAATCTGTTTTAAGGACAAAACACTACAAAATACTGCAGGAGCAATATAATTCCCCCTTTGCCATACTTGGTTCCACTGACTGAAAGCAAGGGAGCCCTCAAATCGGTGATGTAGTAAAACTGTGTCAAAGAGTGCTTCTCAGTACTGACACCATGATGTGAATATTGTAATGAAAGTGCTTTCATAAAATAAGAAAATCTAATACTGTGAGTTATCAACTATCAGTGAAGTGGATTATATTTCATTTGAGGGGGGAGAGGGTCCTCTTTCTTGCCACTACTCAGTAATGTGGTTATCTTTGCTGTCTGTCCATTATCCCTTTTTCTATTACATTTAAATTGGGTTCATTCCAAGTATCCTAATTACTTACTTTGTTTCAGCTTTTTGCCTACCAGATAGGTGTTTGTAAGGAGCTCAGAAGAGAGAAAGTATGGAACTGATACATTTCCTAAATTTCCTTTAACATTCAATTAGAAATTTTTTGAACTAGTGGGTCAGTAACTTCATCTTTTTTTTAATGTGAAGAAAATTGAGTATCAATTGCAATGAAAAGAGATGACAAAAAATTAGTAAGAGAACGGGTAACAAAGAGGTAAAAGTATGATGACTTCTCCCTTTTACACTTCTCTCCTTGATCATAAAAGCATGTTTTTAAAAAAGTAAATTAAAGCATGCTTCCCTCTCTCACTATATAACTTATCATTGGGTTATAAGGAATAAATATCCATACAATGTTTCATTTGTGTGCAGCATATAGAGTTAACTATATTTTTGATGAAAACAATTACAAAATTGAAATATTAATGTAACCTAAAGGCTATTATCAAAACAAAATCAATATGTTACCTAAAGATTATTAGAAACTTTGACTTCTGTAGCCTTCTATTGGTAACACAGAATTTTTAAAACACGACTAACTTTTTAACTAAAGATACCTAATGTAATTAATGTATAAAGAAAACAACTATTTTCTTGCTTGAAAGAATTGCCAGTGGTAATTTAGAATGCTGGTGTAACTTTTGTGCATTCCTGAAACACTGTACAAAACAAGTGTTATTTCTAATGTAGCAGCAGAGTTTGATTTATTTAGGGAGCACAAAGTAAATCCTTTGCAAAATATATACGATTTCTGTAAAATGATTATTTTCTGCAAAAAATTAGATGACCAAATATTGGTTCACTTAAAGGGAATTATATAATTATGTTGTTCACCCTAGGGAGATATTCAGAGCATCAATAAAAATATTTGTCTTTAAAATATACTGAGAAAATAAAATCGAATCCATATGTAAGTTATCTGAAGAGGGAGAAAGAGGGAAAAATGCAATGATCTTAAGGCTTTATAGATAAGATATTAATAATTACCTTTCCAGAATGTTTAGTATCATCCTGACCACATTAATCAGTTCAAGAGCAGCTGTAAGAATGTTATGAGGTGGATGCTCATTAGTGCCATGTAGAATGCGTGCCCTTCTTCTTTCCGATATCACGTCAAGAACTCGATCAATAGCATGCTCAAGATGTTCACTTTGTTTTCTGAATCTGGTAGGCATCTTTCTGTCATTCTGAAATTAAAATGGGAGTTTGGCAGAAGAAATGAGGTAGCACTTATCTAACAAACAAGATATTTGGTTCAATGAAATTGGTTCAATAGCAACACCATTTACCCAAAGTAATATAAGAGAGAGGCAAAATCCTCACCAACTACTTTTCATTCTTTACATATTGTTTCTGATAATATTTATAACACTCATGGTAGTAGTTACATAAAAGGCCTGAAAGGAATAAGGTAATGCAATGAAAAATTTGAGGTATATAATTTTAGAATGTGGCAAAAACTTACTTCCTACAGTTAGGACATGTTAATCTGGTACTGCCTTATTAGTACACCTACCTCACTTCCTTTTTTAAAAAAGTTATCTTTATTATTGAAAGTATTACAAATATTCCCTTTCCCCCCCCACTGATCTCTTCCACCCCACCCTCAATCCATCCCCAGGCCTTCCCCATACCAATGTCTGTGTCCATCGGTTATGCATATAAGTTCTTTGATAAATCCCTCCCCAGCAAATCCCCCATCCCTGCCTTCCCTCTGAGATCCCTCAGTCTGTTCTATGCTTCTATGTCTCTGGTTCTATTTTCTTCAACAGTTTATTTTGTTCATTAGATTTCACATGAGTGAGATCATGTGGTACTTGTCTTTATCTGACTGGCTTATTTTGCACAGCATAATACTCTCCAGTTCCATCCATGCTTTCCCAAAGGGTAAGAGATCATTCTTTTTGACAACTGCATAGTATTCCATGATGTAAATGTACCATGGTTTTTTTATCCACTCATCTACTGATGGGCACTTGGGCTGCTTCCAGATCTTAGCTACTGTAAATTGCACTGCTATGAACATAGGGGTGTATAAGTTCTTTCTGATCGGTGTTCTGAGTTTCTTAGAATATATTCCTAGAAGTGGGATCACTGGGTCAAATGGCAGTTCTATTAATTTTTTGAGGAAACTGCATATTGTTTTCCACAGTGACTGCATCAGTCTGCATTCTCACCAGCAGTGCACTAGGGTTCCCTTTTCTCCACATCCTTGCCAGCACTTGTTGTATGTTGATTTGTTGATGGTAGCCATTCTGACAAGTGTGAAGTGATTTGGCAAGGATACAAAATTAATAGCCAGAAACCGATGTCATTTTTATACGCCAATAATGTACTCTCAGAAAGAAAAACTAAAACAAAAAAATTCCTTTTACCATTGCAACAAAAAATTAAGATACTTAGGAATAAACTTAACCAAGGAGGTAAAATACCTGTACTTGGAAAACTATAGGACATTGCAAAAAGAGATAGAGGAAGATATAAACAAGTCAAAGAATACATCATGTTTGTGGATTGGAAGAATCAACATCATTAAAATGTTTGTACCACCCAAAGCAATATATAAATTCAATACAATCCCTAATAAAATACCAACAGCAGTCTGGCCAAGCATGGCTCAGTGGCTGAGCATCGACCTAGGATCCAGTAGTGGTTAGATTCCTGGTCAGGGCACATGCCCGGGGTTGCAGGCTCGGGGGCGTGCAGGAGGTAGCCGATCAATGACGACTCTCTTATCATTGATGTTTCTATCTCTCTCTCTTCCTCTCCCTTCCTCTCTTTGAAATCAATATAAATAAATAAATAAATAAATAAATAAATAAATAAATAAATAAATAAATAAATAAAATGCCAACAGCATATTTTACAGATCTAGAACAAACGCTTCGAAAATTTATATGGAACCAAAAAATACCCCAAATAGCCATGGCAATCTTGAGAAGGAAGAACAAAGTTGGTTGGATCACAATACCAGATATCAAGTTATACTACAAAGCCACTGTAATCATTTCCTTTTTAGAGTATAATCTAGTGAGAGGAGGAACCATACTACTTTGAATACTGGAGAGGATTGGGTATAGATCTAGGAGATATGAAAGAGACTCCTTACTTTTCAGGTATCTCAGAGCCCTAGAAATCATGTACAGTCCTTTCTGTGGGCTGGTAATTTAAATATAAAGGAGCTGTAAGATTATTAAATGGGTACTGGCATTTAAATGTACCACTTCAAATGATTAGGCACTTGTTTAATTTACATATTTTCTCTTAGCATGAATATGTGTACACACCCTCCCATTAGTCACACTTTGTCCAGGGCCTCATCAAATGGCCATAAGAAATAATCACAGCATTGCAATAATAGCCCCATGTAGCCTCCTCTTCAGAAGTTAATCTAGTTTCATGGTATATTGGTCAGGGAATAATCTGTGATTTACAAAGTAGGAAGGGGTCTTGTTAAAAAGGACCTTCCTTTTAAGTATGAAATTCTGAGGTCCAGGGAAATTTTATTTAATTATGTAAGAAAAATTTTTATGAATATTTGGGTCCATGAAGATATTATATGAAAAGATCATATTAATATGACTTCTATGAAATAAAAGGACCAATTGCACATCTCTTCAGTAATTACTTCTTTCTACTATAAAATCTATTATGTGATACATTCCAATGTTCAAGCTTAGTTTTTCACTTTAAATTTCACGAATCAATCTAAACATAAATCATCTTCCAGATTTCTGATGAATAGTTATGTTTTGGTAGCATCTACCTCCTACAAATAAGCCTGCTTTATATTTGCTGATTGACAAAGTAAGATCTGTATGTGGGATTTTTTTTCCTTCTTTAAATGAGTTTTATAATATAAAAAGAAAGTAATATAAAATGATGGTTTTTACTTTTCTTATATATGGATGTCAGAATTAAATTATCAGTGCCAACATTTAAGATACAAATATTAGCATGTTTCCACTTCCATCATTCACTTCCCAAAATTCTTCAGCTTTTATTGTTATAATCTGGGATTTTAGATACATTATTATCATCAATATAATAAAAGATTAACATTATTGGGGTATATACTTCATGTTTAAAGAATTTTTCAAAAATTTGTATTAAGTATATAACCACACATTAATGAAATTATTTTGACAAACTATGTTTTACTAGTTTCATTGCTCATTGCTGTTTTTTTTATACTACCTGTATCTGTTCTTGAATTCTTTATTTTATTCATCCTTTTGTCAGCTAGAATTAATCTTCCAGTAATTTTAAGGAGTTAATGGGAAACATATTTTCTGACTTTATAATTGTAAGACTGCTTTGTAGTTGCCAACTGACATAAATGGTTTCCCAAGGTCACAGAACAATTAGTAGATCTTATCCTAAACACAGAAGCCTCCTAATACACAGTGCTTTTTCTACTACATCATTAAATGCATTAGGCTTACATAGTTAGGGAAAGATGGAAATTTTTTGACGTATGCCACACTATTGTCTGTGTGTTGAAATAGGAAAACATCTAGGTTTGATGTGAGATCTGAGATTGTACAAATTACTTCAATGTCTCAGAGCCTTAGTTTGTTTGTTTTTCTAAAATGTGGATCTAGCATATGCTTCATCTCTCCTTGAATAAGATTACTAAATATATCAAATATTATACAAATAAGAGCTATTATTATTTATATACAATTTGTATATGCCAAAAAAATCACAATATTCCAGGAATTCTTAACAAGCAGACTCAAAATAAATAGTGGGCAACCTCTTTTCAGTCCTAAGGAAATAGTAAAGATATTAAACAGTCCCTCTGATATTCTAAGTAAATTTGATTGATTTTTCTAATGTAGTTTCTGAAAATTCCTTTAAGATTAAACAATTGATAAATATTATCATTTTTTTGTTTGACACCTCACTAGCCTTCTTTAAAGAGTGAAAATCAGATATATGTCTTGACTTTTTTATTTAAAATCATTTTGCAGAGACAAAACTTTATTTTTCAGCAAATCCAAAACAACTAGGTCAAATAACATACTATCAGAATAGTTAGAATTGAGAAATGAGAGCACAGGAGTGCTGTAATTGTGACTATTTTAGCATGGATAGCTAACAGCAAATAATATCATTTAAATTGTAAAAGAGAGGGTCTTAGTAAAGATTTTTAAGAAAACACATATTAGCATACTGATGTGAAATTCCCATTATTAATTACACATATCAATAAATTCATGAAGGTGTCAAAAACAAATGTTTCTTAAGTGTTTGCTTGCCCTATATCAAATTTCCTCTGAAGCCACGAAGGTCATAGTGTGCCAAAAGATATTTACTTATTTCAACCTTTTTATGATTATATAAGTATGCTGAGAACCAAGAAAGACAATCCCTTATGTTTCCATTAAAGTTTGATTACAGACTTTTCAGATTCCAGTGTGGGTCATTAAATGAAATTAATCAATTATTTTTTCCAGTTGACTGTTAATTACTCTTTAGTTTATTATCTGCATTAGTTTTAGAGAATATAGAACTTTCAAGAACTGATGACAAAAACAATAGTAGAAAAAAATGTCACATGTACTTCCTTTGGCTCGCAGAAACATTTTATACCATCAAAGCTGGCAAGAAGTCTGTTATTTATGTACCAGCTTTCTCCAAATATTCTTGATATTTCAAGTGGGTTGATTATATGTGATGCATGTTCTAACATTATAATTCCCAATGTATGTGGGGTAGGATAACAGATGAATAAGGTTATTGGAGAATACAGAGTCAGGATTTGAGAATAAAAAAAGATCCTTTATAAAATATTGACCCATACATATAAGCCCAAGTGATACTTTCTACCTAACAGCCTGGAAATTTTCTCAATGGTGTCTGAAAACGGAATTTGTATTACTAAAAATAATCTAAATATTACAACAAATAATTTTCTTCATTTGAATATCACAGCCTTGTAAAAATATGGAGAACCATTTTATTTATTTATCATTTATTTATTTATTTTAGGTCTGAAGACATTTTTTAATATTTATATTTATTTTTAATATATTTACTGGGGTCATATTGGTTGATTAAGTAGGTTCTAGGCATATAATTTTATAATACATCATCTGTATCTTGTGTTGTATGTTCACCATACATAGTCTAGTCTCCTTCCATTACCATTTATCCTCCCTTAGCCTTCTTCTACTTCCTC